TAGGAACTTCTGAAATACAAGGCTGTACAAAGAGATACAAGAGAATTTACAATGTTATCATATGCTTATTTTTATGTATTTTAAAGTTCAAAGATTAGTACCTTTTCCTTTAAGGTATCTTTCAATAACATACTGTGCAGTGAAAAACTCCTGTTTGTACTGTTAGGACTGACATCTTATCAATGTACTAATATGGCTATATGAAACCACACCACAGTAACACAGGAAATACTGTCCCAGAACAGATCTGTTAAGCAGTCTATCCTAATAATGGCGGGGACAGGATTTCCCTTCAAGTGCTTCAGTAGTAACATGGCAATTCACTCTCACAATGTGAGTGAATCATGCAGGACAAACAGGCTAATTATGTAACAGGAAGCTTCTGTTTAGAAACAAATATTGGTAACGACGACGAAAAGGGAAATACTGAAAAAGCATATGACAAAGGAAGGTTGTTAAAATATAGTCTTCAAAATACCCATATGTGCTATGGATAAAGAGAAGCCATTACTGTGCCTCTCGTGCCCAAGTACTGCATATATTTACCTATACTGCAGAGTATAGCAACCTCTGAGGGTAACAGTCCCTGTTTGTCTACATGGAGAAATTGATCGGCTATAGGTATTCCACAATAGCTACTCTGGAATACCTCCCTGTGTGGACACTATTCCAGAATAAAAGTGACTATTCCAAGATAATTACTCCTTCCACAAATCATTTTTATTCTGGAACAGAGTGTCCACATAGGACAGTGATTCTAGAATCACTAAATTATATGGGAATAGTTATTCTGGAATAGCTGGTCAATTCCTGTCAGGGAACCAAGGCTTTGGGGTGGAGTTTCAGCCTTTAGCTTTGAATTGTCTATCTTTGAAGGGTGTGTGCTTCATGTTTTCTGTATGCGCAATGAATGCCTCTGATTCTCAGTAGGAATATTCTTCCGTGGGTTTTAACATTGATTGCTTCTCTCATTAAAACAGCCAGTTCTCAAATTAGAACAATAAGTCGGGGAGGGGGAAAGGGGTCACCTTTTAAACATTAATGAAAAAGATTGAACCATATTCAAACAGTGTATTTTTAAACACAAGATTTTGTTTAACTATGTGTATTTGGGGAGACTTAGGGCCAGATCCTGCTCTCCTTACTCATATAAGTAGTCCTGTTTGAAGTTAGAGGCTATGTCTACATTACAAGCACTATACCAGCAGCGCCGCAGCTATGCTGCTGTAGTGCTTGTAATGTAGACATCAACAAAAGGGGTTTTGCTATCGATAAAGTTAAACCAACTCTCCAAGAGGCAGCAGCTAAGTTGACGGAATAATTCTTCCTGCAACCTAGCTGAGTCTACATCAGGAGTGAGGTCAACTTAACCTCAGTGCTGAGAATGCAATTTTTTTCACAGCTCTCAGCAACATAGCTAGGTTGAGCTAGTTTTTAAGTGTAGACCAAGCCAGTCTTTTGTTGCTGGCTTCAATGAGAGCAGGATCGGACCATTGGCAAAAAGAATCCCTTCTCTCCTGCAAATAAGTAGGGACTCTTATGAACATTAATCATTTTCTTTCACATAATGAGATTACTTTGCACTCATATCCAAGGTCTTAAAGTGCTTTAAAGATTAAGTATTATTATTCCCATTGGAACACAGACAGAGAAACACAGAGAAAGTGACTTGCCTAAACTCGGTCAGCAAGTCAATGGAAGAGTCTGGAAATAGGTTTTCTGGGTCTCAGGTCTTTGCTCTAAACCCTCCTTCTAAAGTAAAACTAACTTTGAATTGGTGCATGGGCCCAAAGGACAGCAGGCCAATGCAGAGCTAGTCTTTGAGGCCATCATTAAGTATGAACTTGATCAACAGGGAGATTATAATCTATTTATTTTTTCTCAACCCAGTGTGTATGGCACCAACCCTATGTTTTTAATGAATATGGCAAGGAGTTAATATACATATGTTAGGGTCAAAGAAAAGCAGCTCATCTCAATCCCCTTGCCTCTCTCTGTACATGTCTTTCTTATCCTGTAATACCAAGAGGCAAGCTAAAGGAGAAAGCACAAAAGAAGTAAAGCCTGGTGACTAAACTCTGGATAGGGAGGAATAAAGAATTGGCCAAAGAGAGTGGCAAAACTAAAACAATTATTGCAAATTGATTGCAGTTGCTACTTTGTCTTCTTTGCTTTTCTCTTGCATTTTAATTTTTCTTCATCGTCTTCTTGTTCCCCATGTGCTCTCTTGGCTTACATTTTCTGTTGCTCTTTCCATCTGCTCTCTGTGTATTGTAACCTATGGCATATCTCATCTTTATAGTTAATTCTTTCATATCCAGATATTTCTTAGTTATGTTCTAATTCTGCTTCCCGAGATCCAATTTTCATCAATCATCATCAGTGAAGCTGGCTGTTTTATGATCCTATTCAGCGAATTGCAAATGGTTTAGCAAAATCTCCAATTAAATCCACTTCTCAAATCAAACTACTCTTTTGCAATTAACAAGGATATGACAGTCAACTGGAACAGAAGGATCTTATAAAATCTCTTTACCTGCGCATGCTAAAAGGAAATAATCCATTAAAAAGTCATTCTGTGACTGGAAGTCTAATGGCAAAGAGAAACTTATGCCCATCTCTGCTCCAGTGTCACTTTCCCTGCGCTCCATGCCTCCCTTCCTCCATTATCCTTCTCTCCCTCCTGCTAATGTCTTTCAGACCTTCCGTCTCCTCCCCCCATTATCCATTCCTCATTTATATGTGATGTTTTTCTCTCTCCAGTGCTGGATTCTTTTTCTGTCATTTGCCCTATTTTAGGCCAAATCTGTCTCTGTGTACTCACATATGTAAAACTGGAGTCAATGGGACTGCTTACTTCCTGATAGCAAGCAGGGTTTGACCCTTCTTACACTAAACAACTTTTCTGGATGCACCTCGTAAATCCGAGCTGTTATCAAGTTAGTGTAAAGATATAAACGAGCCTAGTTCTATTTTTATGAGGAATTTGATTATATATATTTATATATTTCCAAATTATGCCTCACTCCTTAGACTAGAGAAAGCAAACGATGTTACCATCTGGCAATCACGGCACTCTCACAGCTCCCTTTGTTTTCTCACTGGAGACTAGCCTGCAATAATTGCTGAGCTGGACCCTTACATGTTGTGTTGATCGCAAACAGGTGGATCCCTCACTCCCAATCCATCCAATTTTCCCAGGAATAATTTTCTTATTTAGGACTCAGAAGTCATGAGGAATATCAGACAGACAGTCAGATGCTTCTTTTAATTTCTACAGTTACATCACAAGACAGAAGGTGTGTCTGCAAAAGGGAATTATCCCCAAATGCCCCCGGAGGGCCTGATCCTACATTCCTGGCACACCCAGAGTTCCCAGTGAAGTAGTGGGAATTTGGGAGCATGCAGGGAATGTAGGATTGGGCCCATAGTGTTGTTGAACTAAATGTCAACTGATCAGATGGTAGCCGTATATATAATAATAATTTACACTTAATGCACCTTGTAACCCAAAGGATCACAAAGTGTTTTATATACATAAAATTGGTTCACCCACCAGTGAAGTGAAATGCAACAGCTGCTTAACAACACACAGCAACACTTGTAGAGTAGTTGAGCTAAGAAATCATATGCTATTTGAACATACTGTTCTCAGGCTCTGAGAAGGCCCCCGCCTCACCTGGAATCCTGAATCCTGCTCATTATAAATGTCCCTAGATGGATTTCCATACATTAGCATTTCTGGAATTATATAATTTTGCCTTTGCTGTTTGTAATGAACAAACTCCTTGAAGGGGTTTAATATAAATGACAATAAGATAAAAATGTGCTTTTGATTTCCTCTTTAATATGTATATGTTTTGGCTGAGAGATTTCTGTACTAGTCGTTGATTATATTTTTCTTTCATTTCCTCAGCCTTTGTTCCCAGTTTGGGATTTATTTGGGCATGTTGCCTAGTTTTTAAAATGTATTTTTATAGCTGCTTTTTCTTAAGATGCCAGGAAGCTCTTGGACATCCTTAGGCATCCAGAAATTAAAGCTTAAATGATGAAGCATAAAAGGCCTGACTCTGCACTCTTGAGGTAGGCAATACACAAAGTACTTGATAAATGCTAAGTAGGGAGTTTTGCTAGCATTAGAACTGAAGGATCAAGCTCTTAAATTCAGTACCTGGACATTTGCCTTTAAACCCAGGAGATGATTTTCACTCAAGAGAAATTAGTTTTGACAGTTTCCCTAAGCATTTGTTATGTACCATAAAGCAGGTTATAATTACAGATGAGCCAACCAGGTGGTGTTGGGATACTGATCTGGACTCTGGGCAATATTCAGGCTTTTGGGTTTGGACTGAGTGGCTCCGAAAGTGTTGGGAGCGTTCGGCCCCAAATGGTAGAAATCTCACAAGAGCAGCTGCACATCTGAACCAGCACAACAAACTGGGCTGCTTCTAGTTTGGGACCAGACTAGAACCAGAACCACGGGGACGGGATCAAAGCTGGGGAAACGTAAAAGGGCGTTAGATTCATTCTCTCATTTCTCTCCAGATTGCAGCTCTTTCAAGTTTCCAGTGCACCTAACGTCTGTCTGCCTGTCCAAGCCAAACCCATAGCTCTGGTATTAGAGCCCCCATTTCTAGCTACGGAGCCCGATTCTCGGCTAGCAGTAATGGAGGACCTGGCTAACTGGTCTGAAAAGCTTCCCACGGGATTTGCTCCTGGGCCAGTTGCTGCTAGGATGCTCTTATTCTGAAGAGGGAGACCGTGGCGTGATGCTTGGCCATTTGTGCCACCTGAGACCAGGGAGGCGAGCAATCCACCGTGCGCGGGGATCGCCTCTTCCATGGGGTTTCCCCGGGCTTGCCTAGGAATGAGGCTCGTTATTATTGATTTATTACTGAGTGAACGCCTCGCTGGAGGAGACACCGGCTGCCCTGCCGTCTGGACCAACGACAGGACTCAGAGCCCTGCTTGCGCCCTCGGGGAGATCCTGAGCTGAGTACCTGGGTCGGGGTCCCCGTTTGGACCCTGGGGCCGGGCTGCTGCGGGTCCCGGCCTGGCCACACGTGCAGCGGGCAGAGCGACCTGCCCCGAGCCAGGAGCCTCGCCGTGCCCCGCCGGCTCCTGCCGCTGCGGCGGCTCCACCCTCCTCCCGCTGGAGCTGGCCCCCGCGCGCCTGCCCTCCTGGGCCGCTGCCCGCAGGGCTTTGCTCGGCTCCTCTCTCGCTCTCGGATTAACTCGCCGGCGGAACCGCCGCGGATGTGCGAAGGCAGCGGGGCGCCGGCGTGCAGGGGCAGCTGCGAGCACGCCGCGCCGCTCCGCCCCGGGTAAGGTCCCTCCACGCCGCTCCCTCGCTATTCACGTGCCGGCAGCCCGGGGCTGGGGGGGGAGCGTGCCACGAATCCTGGCCGCCTTGGAAGCCGGGAGTGTCTGTTGCATTTGAAACCCAGGGGCATTTTTTTTTTTTATTATTTTATTTTTTTGCCTTGGCTCTGGTTGGCGTTGGGGCAGATGACAGGTCTCTTGGGTTCTGCCTCTGCCCGGTCTCGCTACTAGAGAGAAGCAGCTGGGGAAGTTGTGTTGTTTTCACTCGAGATGACTTCGCAGCGGGGAGCCGAGGGGAGAGCCCCATTTTCTCTCCCTGCCCCCCCCCCCCTCCGCCCCATGCCCCTTCACAGCAAGTGACAGGAAGGAAGTAAAGTTTGCAAGCAACCTGCAGCAACAGTAACTTTCTCCACAAGTCTCCCAGTGCCACACAGCTGCCTGTGCTCAAGGTGCCTTTGATGTGTGTGCAGCAGCTTCTGGAAAGTGGACTGCAGCCTTCCCTTCCCCACCACCTCCCCTCCCACCACCACCTCAGCCCACACATGCGATTTGTTTAAGAAAAGTGATGAAATGAACAAGAAGTGATGAATTACAGGCGAGTTTCCCTAAAGAGAGATTGGAACAAGGAGCTTGGGGGAGCGGATCGCAGCCAGCACAGAAGCTTGCAAGGGGAAGAGATCTGTGTTGCCCTTTTTTTTGCAACAGAAAGGAATTGATCTGGGGCTGGGGGAGCTGAATGTTTGGCTGGGTGTTAATGTATCTTAGCGGCGTTATGCAAAAGGCTCTATATGCTTGTATTTGACTTGCAATGCCGGCGTCTCTCTGGGATGCAAACCCTTGCACAGGATGAAAACAGGTTTGCTGCGAATCCTCCTATATGTTTTCCTTTTCAGATGTCAGAAAAGAGCATAATAACCACACAGTGCCACCAGGCACCTCATTACTGCGCACCCTTCGCCGTTCTTTGGAGATGTTAACAGAGATGAATCTTTTATGCAGCTGTCTCCTTGTATCCATAGCGGTGCTTTACAATTTGCACTTGATTGCAGCTCAATATGCTTTTTAAAAGCCGTTTCCCAAAGCGATGTAAAATAAACACAGATGGGAGAAGGGGAAAAAAGCAGTAAGGAAGCAGTGTGGTTGGGTTGCTATCTCCCCTCTCTCTCCTAATGTGATCATTTGCTCTAAAAAAAAAAAAAGAAAAGTGGGTCTTCAGTCTCAGAGGAGTTGCAAGAAGCGGATGAGATTGAGGACCGTTTTGTGGATCTTTGGTGGGGTGGGAGAAACATTTCCATCAGTGTCAGTTGCCTTATTGACTTTCTTGAATGTGTGTACTTAGTAAACCCTTCTGCCAATATCTCTCCTGCTCCTCTTTAAAGTATGTCCTGTTTCTTCCAACACCTTATAGGTCAGTCTTCTAGAATGCCCGAGGAAAATTCCCCAAGACGGAGTCCTCAGAATATCCCTTATCAGGACCTTCCTCATATGGTCAATACAGATGGACAATATCTTTTCTGCAGATATTGGAAACCAGCCACAACTCCAAGGTGAGCACTTTCAAATGATGCATTTGTTCTCAATAAATAAGCCTCCATTAATGTAACTTTATTATTATTTATAGATTATACAGCATCATAGGTGTTCGTGGTGCTTTACAGAACCAATAAAAAGGCATATCCCTGCCCCAGAGCGCTTCCAATGTAAAGATTAGATCCTATAACTCCTCAGTCTCCCGAGCAGGCTTTACTACTTGCATAAATGAGGACTACTTACTTGAGTAATGTTTTGCGAGATTTGTATTTACTTTCATTTCATGCTCAGTTGAACAGGGTGACATTTCAGTCGCCTTGGAAATATCATCCATATGATGCATTACAGCAATAGAGATATTTTTAAACAGATATCCCCAACTTTCAGAGATGTGTGACATACACAGGCTTTTGTTGCCCAGCCTTTGTCATTATTTTTAGTGTTAATAAATCAAACATTAGAGGTCTCATTCAGCTGTAACAGTGGTGCTATAAATCCCAGTGCAATGACAGGTTTTTACACACTATATGTAATTTACTTCTTACTAAATTTAGAGTTGGAAAATTACTTGGATGGATCTTCCACTTTAAATTGGCTGTGGTTTCAAAGCTGAACTCAGTGATGGAATGTGGACAAATAATCAGATAAAGAAATTTAGGTAATCTCTTATTTATTCATAGTCCTTTACTGTAATGGCTTCTGAGTTAGGTTATGTGCTTTTAAAAAGCATGAATTTGGTAGTGTGGTAGAAAATTGCCTGTGTATTTCTCTACTTATTTATGGTCTCACTTCTACCTGCCAGTCACAGTTACAAGATGCTGGCTTCATGTGTATGAATGCTAGCACTAGCTATACACATAGCTACATATGAAAATGCATCTGTTCTCCTATTGTTTGTCTTTTCTGCAGTCAAACGGGATAAGCTCTGTTTATTTTTACATTGCAGGGATAAAGATTTGTGGGAAATGGCTGCCCAAGGAATAGTGGGAAGTTAAACTTTTCTGCCCCAGCTGTCCAAATCCTTTGTCACGTTTCTGTTTCAGGATCAATCAGTGGGTCTTGCTGAGTAGTAGAAATGTGGCTGAGGTTACCTAGCCTTCTGCTTCAGCTCCCATAACCAAGCCAGACAGGAGTTATGTGGATGACACAAGTACTCCTGAAGTGCACATGTGGGAAAACCCAGTTTGCTGTCCTTGAAGCAACATCCACTGTTATCCTATCACCGAACAGGTGAACTTTTGGGGCCTGATCCAAAGCCCATTAAAGTCAGTCCCATTCATGTCAACAGTTTTAGGATCAGGCTATAGCACAACTGTCTTAGCTTATAATTACCTGGTCCAGGCAGCAACTCAAGCAGTTATTTCTAACCCCAGTGTGTCTTCCAAAAACCAGAAGGAAACTTTTTGGCATTGGTTTGTATATAGTTCTGGCACCAGCCTCAAGATTTCCTCTACAGAACAAATTCAGTAGCAAAACAAGCTTCTTCTGTGAAACCAGCCTGTCACGTATTATAATGCTAATTAATCATTAACTGCCCACAGTGTTCTTCACTCAGTTGTGGAACTGCATTCTCTTTTCATGTTTAATTTCTTGGAAAATTAGTGGGGAGCAGATGAGTCTTTGATCAAGAAATGAAAGGATGATGAAGTAGAAGTTAAAACTTGGTGTTTAATTCCTCGCACTAGCTCATCTTTTCAGGGCTCTGCACACCAAGCAGTTAATTGAGAGTGAGGTTGCCCTAGTTTTGTGACAACAAAGTAAACAGGATCAGTGCTGCTCATTTACAAGTGGTTCTTACGTGTGTGTGTGGGGGGGGATGTTTATTTTTAGCTTTGCTTTGTGTGTATGAGAGAGTGTGTAAGTAACTGAATAACAATTTAGTACCTAGATCCTACAGTCATGAATGCTCTTGAAATGTTTAGATCGAAAGAACAACAGAAAATACATTTATCTCTCTCTTCAAAAGTATCCAAGAGTTTTTCTCTTTCATATGCTGAAGCTCAGTCACTTTCATCCAACTTTAAACATTCAATGAAAATGAGATCAGGAAACCACAGGGAAGGTTCACAGGCCCGTTATGAATGCATTCTGTTTCAAATATTGATGAGGGCAACTATTGCAATTATGATTTTAGTTACAATAAATGCAGTGTTATTCAACTGCTGACTTGCTTTGGGAACCTTAATATTAACATGTGCTGCTGTAATGCTCAAACAGGACCTTTCATTGATCAAATCCCAGCTAAGGGCTTTAGATAGCTGCAGGTGTCCAAAGGTTAGCGTTGACTTGCGTTCCACTGGTAGAGAATGTATTACCCTTGGCCCCTTCCCAGGGGAAAGAAACAGGAAATTTGCCAAAGGTAAAATAAAATTAAATCCACTGGCCTGGGGCCATGCTCTAAATATGGCTAAATACCCCTGAGAACAGGGCCAGGTGACAGCTACTACTCCTTCCAAAGTGCCCATCTTTTACTCCTAGGAAATAGGCATGTTAAGGTGGGTAACAGCTGCAGTGGACTAAAGGGCTGCAGCCTTGTGTCAAATGATTTGTCAGGAAAATGGGGCGTTTATAGGATCTCTTGCTTTGTGGATAGAAATATATAAGGCCTGGTCCTGTATGGCGCTGAGCATCCACAGATCCCCTTGGCCCATACTTGTGCACAGGGATTTGGTACAAATGAATGTAGGGAACCACAAAGGCCAAGGATATAGAGAGTGAACCCCCATCCCCACTGAGAGATCCTCAGCCAGGATTTCTGGCTGTTGTTTTGTTGAGAAGAAAGATTTAGGGAGTTACCTCATATGAAGCAAAGGCACTCTGGTGCCACAGTGATGGGTATGGGATAGATAGATTAGATAAAAATAGGGCTAGGGAAGGGAGGTGGTGGTCTTTTCCTCTCACTCCTTTAGGGTGGGATGTTATTCCCAATGTGGGAGCCTTGGAGTGGGTGTTTTGTTCTACTCAGCCCTCTTTGCAGACAGCAAGGCAGGTGCATTTGGGTAACACCTGTAAGTTGTTCAACTTGTTGAACCTGTTTTATTGTAAATGAAGCTTTTGCATTGAAAGTGTAATTCAGAGGCCAAATTAACACCTAAGGAAATACGGGGGGAAAGGGTAGGGACATGCTAGTGTGGAATCCAATGACTGACTCATTCATCATAAAAAGAACAGGAGGACTTGTGGCACCTTAGAGACTAACCAATTTATTTGAGCATGAGCTTTCGTGAGCTACAGCTCACTTCATCGGATGCATTCCAACGAAAGCTTATGCTCAAATAAATTGGTTAGTCTCTAAGGTGCCACAAGTACTCCTTTTCTTTTTTGCGAATACAGACTAACACGGCTGCTACTCTGAAATCATTCATCATAGTGATGCAATAGGCATATCTTGTATAGCATGACAATGGTTAACTCTTTTGCATCAGGTGCTAACCAACGCATTGAAAGCTATAACTGCACTGTGGCAGAGCACGTTCAGGACAGTTCAGCAGTGTTTGGAGTATCAGCTAGTCATTAATACCAGGACAGATTCACTTCTGCCTACACGCAGGACATCGTGCAACTAAGGGAATCCTATCTTAGGCCTTGTCTACGCTATGGGCTAAATCGGCACTGCTGCGATTGTTGCAGCGGGCGTCGATTTAGCAGGTCTGGTGCAGACACAGTAAGTCAAGGGGAGAGCACTCTCCCGTAGACTTAATTAATCCATCTCAATGAGAGACAGAAGCTGTGTCAATGGGAGAGCGTCTCCCGTAGACATAGCGCAGCACAGACACCGTAATTTACGTAGCTTAAGCAGCGTAACTCAGATTGACTTACACCACTAGTGTAGACAAAGCCTTAGTTAAAAAGTAGTGCTTACAGTAAAAAAAACCATAGCATTAAGTCCCCGACTGGCTGTTTGAATAGAAATGAAGGCAAGGAGTTAAGAAACCCATGTTCTGTGCCCAGCATTCACAGATGCGTGGGCTTGAGCTAGTCCTATAAGCTGACACTTTGAAAAGCATCCACAGCAGAGGTGGGCAACCGCAGCCACCGGGAGCTGCCGGGGGCTGTGCCTGCGGACAGTCAACGTCAGCAAAATGTCTCGCGGCCCACAACCAGATTACCCTGATGGACCACATGCGGCCCGTGGGCTGCAGGTTGCCCACCACTGAGCCACAGGTTTTGGACGCCATCATGTTTGTGTGGACAAACTTGAGACAATTTGGGCTTTCAGAGTGCCTGTAGTTCCCATCGACTTCAGATGGAGGTAAGTGTGCTCAGCACGTCTAAAAAAATCAACTCCTGTGCTTGTCAGGTCAGGCACCCCAAGCCTGAGACACCCAATGTCAGAGGACACTTTTGAAAAGGTGGATCTTGTACTTCTCAATGCCTCAGGCTATGTCTACATTTAAACGGCTGTAGCTGCACCGCTGTCGTGTTTCAACATAAACTCTCATTACATGGGAGAGGTTCCTCCGTCACTGTAGGTAATCCAGCTGCCTGAGAGGCAGAAGCTAGGTGGATGGAAGAATTCTTCTGTCGACTTAGTGCTGCCTGCACCCGGGGTTAGGTCAGCTTAACTATCTAACTCAGGAGTGTGCATTTTTCACACCCCGCAGTGATGTAGCTGGGTCCACTTAACTTTTTAGTGTAGACCTGGCCTCAGCTTCCACATCAGTAGAATGGAAATAATAATCTGTCTAGCTATCTAGTTGCTTATATGGCCCGCATGAAGCTTATCCACCTTTGTGAAGTGCCTTCCAATCTACAGCTGAAAAGAGTTAAATTACTATTAAAAATAACATTTTAGAAATACAACAAAACTATTTTTGCATTTAATGTTTCTAGAGCCTTTATCCTTTGTAAAATCCCTTTAATTCTTTCCAGTTTAACAGCACCAAAGGACCAACCGAATGTTAAAAATAAATCCCTCTCCCTCTTGGGCCTTGCCCCTGTGGTGTAGAAATCCAAGCAGGTTTTATTTTGAATGGAGCCTTAAATCATTACATATTGCTTGCTGATTTTGGCAGTT